CCCCCCCGCACCTCCCCAAACCCCACCCCCTAGCCCCAAATATAATAATTTCCTTTCTTTGAGGTTCTCTAGACAGAGGTCTGAGCTGAATGCACTAATATCCTAATAGGACGATAGTGGTCTCTGGGATAGCTGGCAGTGGTGGGAGAAGGTGATAAATAATGGTTATTTGACATTCTTTCTAGCTCCAAGATTTCTGCTCTCAGATAGCAGAAATAGCTGTTCCTGTTAAAGTGTATTTACTCTAAATTATAGGGTACAAGATGGAATTTTCCTTTTACCTCTGCAGGGTCTGCCTGTATGTTCCCCCTACATTGCCCCTTGGAGTTTCAGGGGTGAGTGGTGAGGAGGGAGTCTCTCCCTTGGTTTTCCACTTTTCACATCTTCCCTGGGTCATGTTTCCTGGTAAAAGGCATTGACTTTCTAGTTGGAGGTGGGGAAAGTCTTGCTGTGTATTAAGAACCAAGTTTGACTGTTGTTTCTATCAGCCTGGTTTCCATTTCCTGCAATCTTCACAAACAGCTAAATAGCCAAACCCAGACATTTTTCATTGCTTAGCCTCCAGCATCCCCTCCCCACATTCACTGACCACTGTGCCCACCCTGGAGACCCACTTCCAACATCCACAGCACTGAGTTTTGGACAATTTGGTCTTTCTGGAACATTTTGCTCACATCTGGCTTAGTCTAGTCCTTCTGTCGCTGAAAACGCTCTTTCTCTCCCTCTGCAATTTTCTTACAGTACTCTCCTTTCACCACCCCCCTTTCTCAATTAGTTTTTCCTCTCATAGAGTTAAGATCACAACCATTGGACAAATTGCTTTACTTTTCTGGGCCCTAGTTTCTTATCTGTAAAATGTTATTGTTGTTGTTAAGTGCCGTCGAGTCATAGATGACTCATAACTTTGGTCGTTTCTCCACATTCATAGTTTCCGGAGGCAAATTATTTCAGAAATGGATGCCACTCCTGCTTCCAGGCTTGTTTTAATCAGGAAGCTCCAGGAAACACTGTCCACCATGGGTAACCATTATTGCATTTGACAGACCAGTGTCACAGTGTTTAGCATCACTGCAACAAGTTACCTCTGTACACCAATGCACAGACCAGTGCTATACCACTTAGAAGAATATTTGACCAAAAACAATTTAAACCAGGTCTGAGGGCCACAGATTAAAATCACCCAACTTGGGCTTGGTAGCATAACCTTCTGTCCATTAGGTCAACAGAGCTCTCTCTATGTTGTCGTTGTTATTGTTGTTAAGTGCCGTTGAGTCATAGACGACTCATAGGGACCCTATGAACGAAAGACCTGAACAATTGTATAACTTTGGTCATTTCTCCATGTTCATAGAGTTTCTGGAGCCAAGCCATTTTGGAAGTGGATACCACTCCTACTTCCAAGATTGATTTAGTTGGGAAGCTCCACCAAACACTGTCAGCCATGGGTAACTATTATCACATTTGGCACACCAGTGTCAATGGTACAGATAAATGGTATCTGTAAAACAGGACTCCTAAAATCCTATTTCTGGTGCCCTGGTGGCAAGAAGTGTGCTGCAATCCCAAAGGCACACTGTTCAAGGCCACCAGCTGCTCCGTGGGAGAAGGGTGGGCAATCTCCTCCCATGCAGTTAACAGCCTCAGAAAACCCACCAGAGGATCAGCTATGGGTCTATTCCCACTCGCTGATACACAACAACCACAAGATCCTATTTCACAAAGTTATTGGAGAACAATGAAATACTCAATGTCAGGCTGGAGCTGTATGCCTGGTGAAGGCTCAAAGAGTGGCCTGTACTATTATGATGATGAGGCTATTGCTAATGTCCTGCTCACTAATGTCAGAAGATACTTGACATTGCATGTGACTTGATCATGACCAGAGTTGTTTCATGTGTGTAAACTTGGGAGTCCTTGAAAACTGGGACTCTTGCCCTTTGTTGTTGAGTCAGCCTTGAGCAACTTCTCTACACAACAGAGCAAAACCCTGTCCATTCTCAGTCTCTGCTGCGATTAAACCCATTCTTGCTGTCGCTAGGTCAATGCATCTGGTTGAAGGTCTTCCTCTGCTTTGCTCACACACTTTTCCAAAAGTAATCCCCTTCTCCAGGTATTGGTCCCCACCCCCCACCATGACAATATGTCCAAGAAGGTGAGCCTGCACCTCCTTGCTTCTGAGGAAC